GCTTGCATCTTCCGCAATCCTAGGACTAATATTATTGCTCAAAGCTACATGCGAATCGTCACTTATTTTCAATCGATTTCTGGCCTTGTTTTTAATTACCAACAAAGCAAAAACACTTGTTGGCATAAATAAGTTCCTGAGAAAATCATAAGATAAAGCAAGGCATTTTCTCGAAGTTTCTAAAAAACTTCTCAAGCTTATTAGATTCAAATTCATCCTTACAGTTTACTATCATTGTGAAATTCAATCAGTTTTTGATCAATATTGGCTTCTGTTTCGACATATTCTGGGAAGTTACGATTGAATTCATTAGTCAACATTTGCAGATGACTTTTAAAATTTTCTTTTATGTTTTCCCTGTTATCCTTATACTTTTCATCCTCCATAAGTATTTTTAATGTAGCGAATGCAGAATAATTATTTTCTCCAAATTTGTCTAAGCATAACCAGTTTATCTTCAAAGATAAATACATTTGCAACGACTTCTATTTGTAACTGTAAGTTCAGTTTGTGAAAATATCAACAAAATAAGCCAAGTTCGTCTGAGATGTTGGATCAGAAAACAGCTTCTGCAACTCATTCATATTTTTTTGTGAGCTAGAATAACCTCAACCTCTGCCCTGAGTTTATACAACCTTCCCAACATATTAACTTTCGGCGGCCAACGAACTTCTGTGTGAAAAAAAAGCCTTATGGTCTAAGTCCATTTCAGTCCATAGTTTTTTTTTTAAATAGGTGTGTATGCGCTACGTTTTTTAACATTTACCACTTGGCTAATTCCATTGTATTCTTAAGACAGCCAGGAACTCTTTGAAACTAACGCTTGACGGTGTATGGTACAGTGCGTTGTTATACCCTTACAGTGGTTCTGTTTTTTCTGGATCGCTGGAGCACCATCTGTACAGAAACCAAAGAGTTTCTCCCAGTTAATGTTATGCTTTTGGAACTATTCCGATATTGTGTTCAGACATTAATATTTTCAATGACGCTGTATTAGGCGCTTTGGATAGAACAAAGGGTCCGGGACTGACGGCCTACCAACAGTATTCTTACGTGGTTGTGCTGATAGTTTAGCACACTTAGTTACACTATTATTTAACAGATCTTGACCAAATGTGTCTATCCTTCTTTGTGGAACGCTACTCACTAGTCCCCGTACATAAAAAGAGCTCCAAGTCAGATATTAAAAACTATCAACCGATATCGATTCTAAGTACGCTCGGCAAAGTGTTCGAAAGAATTGTCTACAGAAATATCTACCCCTTAGTGACTAGCGGCTTGGGCTCGAATCAGCATGGTTTCATTAAACGACGCTCGACAACACTGAACTTCGGCATGTTCAGCAACTATGTTATATGTAACATGGAAGCTAGTGGATAGGTTGAAGTGATCTACACAGACTATATTGTTACTATATACAGAATTACGTCACAATCAATGTTTCTAAGTGTTAATGTATTAGCTTTAACTGTTCTAAAACCCCAATCAAATATATACAAGTTTGACAGCAATGTTATTGAAAGGGGGGAAGAGATCACGGTGTAATGTTAGATCATATAATCAGTAAAACCTCTCGTAATCTTGGTTTTGTAATGCGTGCTTGCGAACCTTTTGGAAATTGCCACAGTTTAAAGATTGTATATTATGCCTATGTCCGTAGCATCTTAGCCAGCTAAATTTGGTCACCTCAACATAATGTTTTTATTACGAGACTAAAAAGTTTGCAGCAGAGGTTAGTGAAATTCCTAAATTTAAGTCTAGGAAACGACATGTCTCGTATGCCGTAGACTGTAGACACTATCACTTTCTTCCTCTCGATGATAGACGCAAGATGCTTGATATGCTTCCACTTTTTGATATCCTGCGTTGTGAATTCGATTGTAGTGATCTTCTTTTATGTATACGGTTCTGCATACCAAAGTGACGTACTAGGTACACCCACCTATTTAATATACGTTATCACCGCACTAATTATAGTAGTAATGACACGTCTACTTCGCGTCTATACGGGCAACTTTGATTGAATAGTTATATTATTTTAACCAGGGAGTCATATCGGAAACAAATCGCGAATATACTCACTAGTAAATAGATGAAATTTATTTCTTATTCATTTCTTATTATTTTAGTGTACCTTAATTTGAGTCAGTTGGACGTAATTTGGTTTGGTCTGGTTTGATTTATTTTGATTAAATCGAATTGATTTGGTTTAATTCTGATTGTATTTTATTTTGGTGAATTTGATTTGATTTGAGTTGATTTAATGTAATATAATTGAAATTATTGTTTTATTATCATTTATTTTATGTTTTATGTTTATTATTATCAGTGTAATATTATAAGATTCCTTATTTTCTAGTTTTAAATAGCGAATGTCGTGAAACTCTGTAATATGGCCCAGAATTTAATTTAATGTAAAATATGAATGTATAATGTAAAAAGCTGTTGAGTTTTCTAACAATAAATAAATCAAATAAATGATGTCGATGCCATTTGATATAGTTCTCAAGAAATCTTCTTTGATTATGTTGTCGTCGTCTAAAAATCGGACAAATACAATCAACTGACAACAATTACAATTGTCAGTTGATTCATCACACTGTAAAGCGAAGCATTGAGAGTTTCTGATTTTTGAAACTAGTTGCTCCTTATCATTTGACATTAGTTCAATTCGAGTTTTTACTGTGTTGTTCTAAGTTATTTCTTGTATTTTTCTTTTAGCCTCTAATCCCAAACCTCCAACACCTACATCGCAAACGTAATTTTAAATTGTTTGCGGACCAATTAAGGACTATCACTTGTTGGGAACCAATGCTCTACCCCGAGTTACGTGTTACTCATTATCGCACTGCTTTTGTTAGTTACATTTTGTAGTAGCATTTTCATATATTTACTCCTACGCTGGGCTGTACTGGATACTGGGTACACACAAAAAAATAGTATATAAATCAATAATTGGTCAAATTCTACACAGAGTTACATTGTGTTGGCGATAAGGGAGTTTCAGCATCTTAGATTATAATAAAACTAGCTTTTGCACGCAGATCCACCTGCGTGTATGTTGTTTGTCGCAGTAAAAAGTGGCATAATTATGTCCTTCTTCGAAGTATCCATGTCAAATTTCATTAAAATCGGTTCTGTGGTTTAGCAGTGACATCGTAACAGACGGGCATAGTTACTTTCGCATTTATAAAATTAGGAGGGATTACGAAATACCTTCAAAATAATATAAACTTAAAATTTACGGCCTTGTTACCTTTTTATTATTGCTGGAAATACTTCCGACTGGACACTACCGCTAAGACTAACGCTAAGACTATTTATATTTTGTTGAAAGCCAGACAAAAATAGCCATAGTTCAAGTAAAAGTAGATTGAGGCAGTCTTCTCCTCACAAGTAAAAGTGTATTTAAGGAGATACTTATGCGGTCCTAAATAAATATCTTGTAGATTTTCAAAGTGCTACTTAATGTCAACGAAAAAGGTTTTCGGATCTAATGTGCTATAGGCAACGATGTTTCTTCGATGAATGTACTCGTAATACAGCTTTGTATTGTTGTCAAATATAAGTGAAGTATTGTTGTAATTTTTCCTTAGTATAAACTTAATTAATATCAATTGAACGGTATGACAACCGACAGTTGATTAGATTATTTGTACTAAGTATATATAATGTCTTTGGTTAAAATATTTGTAAAATAAATCCTATTCTTGAAAGATGAACTACTACAAGTATGTACTAACTAACACTAAAACCCTGCATTGGCATAGTGAGAAGGGAGTGCCACGCAGACCGAAAGAGGTCACCCCTTGAATGCTGGAAACGGCAAACAACTGGACAACAATGACGGGGTTTTTAAGAGAGGTTCTGCTGCAGAAAAAGGGAAGAAGAAAGGAACACGGAGGAATAGCCCCAGCCTACGGCTAGGAGGGGTCCTAGTACCGCGAATTAATGCTAGCGCTGTCCCGCGGTTCTAAGTATAAGAGAGGGTAGGTTTTTAGTGGGTAAAAATCGACCGCTGCCGGTTTTCAACAACTTGTCAGGTGTCTTTGAAGATTTCCTCCTCTCAAACACCACACAAAAAAACACTAATTACCTAATGGTATCAATGGATACCATGGTAGAACTTGGAATGCCGAATTCCAGCGATATTAAACAAACATTTATTAGAAAACGTCACTAATTGTATCGCACGACTCACCGTCACGACGTCGGGGAAGCGTTGGCTCCACGTACCTATTTAGGACACGGAGGGTGTGAGTAATATTCCTCAACTTTAAAATATCACACTTCGTAATAACCTAATACTGAGCCCATACTCAAATACCATTATGTTAAAAATAATACAATTTCTGAGGAAATGATTGCATACTAGGTTTACAGGTGTATTTGCAAATTTTTAAAATGCAATAAAAACATGTTTATTTTTTTGTAACAAGTGTATTTCAAAAAATTTACTTCCATTAAGCTCACCGTTTAAAAAACACAAATCTTAAAATAATCATCTCACTGTCTAATGGCAAAAATATCTGTTCGTCTAAACTGTCTAGTTTGCCGATAAACTTTGCGCATTTTGGGATTCAACTATTTCAATTACGTACTCGTATTTATTACGGTTTTTTGTCAAAAAGTAGTAAACGAAATTAGCTTATTTTGTAGTGCGAATATTCCATGATAACATTAAGATTGACGTCAGCCTACAACTTCATCCATCGACTAAGAGCTTTCCATGATGACTACAAAGCTGATCTGGTATATTTAGGTAACAATTCGAACGGAACGCAGACACTCGTACACAGCCCGGCTACGATATGTGTCGTCATGCCGCGAGCGAGAGGGGGGAATATTTAAAACGTCACTCATTCATGAAATCACGATATTTCATTTGAATACAGACTATCGTCGCGTGCGCACGCCTTGGCTGACAAATTCCTGCGCTATTTTTACCCGTTATTAAACAAAGAATCGTGTTTTAGAAGTGATTCTTATAAATTGTGAGAATGAGCGGGAACTTCCTTACCATACCTGGAAATGATTCCATTCAGAGGCGATCGAGGGTAAGGCTTTATTGTTTTTGTTATTATTTTGTAAACAATGGTTAGTATTCTTAAATAACTGAAACTATTTTTATTTATTTGAATATTATACTTTCTACTACGCCGGATACATCTTTTAATTTCTAAATACTTTTATCAGAAAAATCACATTTGGGATTTTAAAATTGGTGAAACCATGGAAGCGATAACTGAATTGACTTTACCTTTAAACATAAATAAATACAAAAATGTATATTTTAGTCTGAAAATATCAAACACAATAGCACGAAAAATCACCCATGAGTGATGTGAATCCGGAACTTTTGGCACCGAGCGCTTTGCAAACTGTGCCAAATGTTACTTCTACAGACTTTTCTCCATACCGCAGGTCAATTCAAAACCTTCATCAGTATTTGTTCAGGGCCATTCGATTCAAGGCCCTGGTTAAATGTCGAGGTGAAATATGTAAAACATTTTATTACAGACTGTTTGTTGTTATTCAATACAAAGCTTGTATGGATTGTATTAATACTTACATACAGATTCAAACATTAAAGCTGTACATAAAGTAGTGTTTGATCGAAAAATGCTTAAATAAAGGACCTTAGTAGACCGTGGAATGAGTGATAAGCGTCATTCTTGGCTTTCTTCTTCAACTGCCTAGATTGCTTTTAGATAAATAAGTCTAATGTATTTGATTCCTTTGCACAAGAGACGTGTAAATAAGTATAAAATTCTTTCTTCTAGATAAAGAGGCGGGCTATTTGATTGTTATATAGTTAAGGCTACAACGTACTTAAATGTTACAGATAACTTTTTCTTAATAATTATATATCTAAAATTTAATTTTATCCCAAATCGGTTAATTTTTTTGGTGAGACATTGAAAGTTGCTTGCGACTTGCTTCGATGAAATACGACAGGTGCAAAGTTTTATACATAAATATAATTATATAATAAAAAAGCAGAGCCAATAATTAAGTGGTTCGCGTAGACTTGTTCATATTATTCCCATAAGGAAAACCACGAAGTGATCATATTTTCAGGACAAAGAATAAATATGGTAACCACGATGAGTATCTATCTCGTCTTCTAATTTATAAGGAAAACTATTAATAAAATAGTTATTAACATAACTTTTATGGGGATTAACATCTTCTCTGTGAAATTAATGAAGTTTTTTTAAAGTGAGCGCAATTTTAATTGATTTATTGGTAAAATATAAACACTGATTGGGGCCCACCTTTTTCTAGTCTTATATATATATGATTAGACAGACAGGTAGTAATTTAAATTAGATGCTATACCATGCTAAGCTAAGATTTTGACTAGTTTCTAGGGCAAGTACCAATAATCCAATATTTTTATTATACCGTTGAAATATTACAATGAAGTAACTAACTCTATAATATTTACAATATACCAATAATCATTCAAAGCTATGTAAAGTCAATAAAATATGTACAATCATTTAAAAACCTACCTTCAAGAAATTGTTTTATTTTTTATTTTTTCAGAAATCATTTTACCTTCTATTGACAAATTTTACTTTGAAATCTTAGGTAAATCCTGATGAATTGTAATAAAGTGTATCTTTCATCTCTTAAATTTTTGAAGTATGTACTTACATATATTAACTTTAATACAAATGAAATCAACCTTGAGTTGAAACAATTCAATTTGAGAAAGAATGATTGAATGGGTTCAAATTTTTTTTCAGTAGATTGAGAACTTCCTAACGCCGCTAAAAGTTTCATTCATAACATAATTAGTTGTCAGTTACGTAACTTTTAAGAATCTTTTTTCTTTAGTTTACTTCTAAAATCTAAGAATTGTTAGCAATTATTTCAAAATTGTAATTTTTTTTTGCCTACGACACAATTCTGACAATATTTATTATCATAGCTATAATAGTAATAAAACAGGTATTTGTTCTGTGAATAATGAATGTGGGTACTAATTGTCTACATAAACTAAAAACATCTGTCATCAGTGGCGCTACATCAAGAAACTATGGTGACCTACTGACCGTACCGGTGCAGAACTATAAACAAATACAAAACTCGTACCATTCGTCCCTGTACGAAGAAGTTCATGATCGCTAAACAGGTAAACACACTGTAACATTTGTAAGGTATCGCGGTCAAGTGCACGCCACTGCTCTTGTTCCGTGTAGCGATGCGTTCCGGTCCCGGTTTATAAATATAACAGTTCAATGTTACAATCCTCCGTCAAATATGACTGTCTAAATGGGTTATTTCGTTGTGCCAATGTTATATTTGAAGTTGTTCGGTGAAATAATTAGATCTGTTCATTGAAATCTTTATATTAAAATCTTACAATGCATATTAATAATGAAGCTATTAACTGTCTGTAGCACCATCATCAACAGTCTTTAATAATCCACTACTGGACATAGGCCTCTCCTTAGAAAGGAGGTTTTGGCCTATTGTACTACGCTGGCCAGACGGATTAGAGTAGGGTTTGTTCCAAGTTTTCCTTCTCTTTGCAGTTCTATTGTCCTACATAGTTTGCTCACAAAGTTGGCTCGGGATGAATAGTGGTGGTGACACTCCGTATTCTTAATTCGTCACCACACGAATTATTAGTAACGTCTTTTGTGATCATTTTCTTAAAACGTTATTAATTAAAATTTATTATTGTTTCGTATAACTTATTTAATACCATAAATTAACTGCATAGTTTACTAATAATATATTGTTCTGTAATTAGACTACAGACTACATAACTTCAGCACAAATCATAATTACTTCACGCAATGCTTACAGTACACTTTCTCAAATTAAAAACTAGAACGAAGAATGCCTGGCCATAATATTAACTAATATATTCCTTAAAAGCACCGATAAATAAAAGTCACGGACTTCGCTACGCACATTACGGGTATTTCTAACTTTCACGCTCAGATTCAGTAACGGTTTAAAAACGTTTCAGATACGGCTTTTTGTAATTAACGATTATTTTAGCTCTATTTGCCGCTTCTACTTTTATCGCTTCGTTTTATTGTCAAGTTTTTGTAGGAGTATTTTTAGGCCAAGTAATCACAAAGTAGAAGCGGCAAATAAAGCTAAAATAATCGTGTAGAGTTTTGTATAGTATACAAAACTTTCAAGTATACATGACATTTACTGATAATGCAAACCATATTGTTGGACTTGGTGATCGATGTTTTTTTTTATTTTATTTATATTTATTACCTGCAACTCAAAAGTCACAAATGCGTTGCCGCCCTTGGAGTCCCTCGGAGGGTTAAATTTGGGCGCCGGTAACCTTACTCACTCAGTGAAAGGCAACGAAAGAATTGCTTAACACCGGTTTTCTGTGAGGCCGATGTGACTTCTGACAGCATTTCAGTTATTTACTTAAAAACGAACCAATGCCTAAACGGATAATTATCGTGCATTACTATACTTATAAATAATTGCAATAATGAAATTTAAACCATAATAATGAAATCATAAAATTGAAATCATCGGCAACTCAAACCGAATTTTGTATGAGAACCGTAGAGAATCTAAAATATTAAAACTGTTAGAAAATAGCCTCTATCTTGAAATCTTAAGAAAGCTTGATAATATAAATACTGCAAAAATAGAACCCGTGTTTATTTACATATGGAATTTTACTACCCTTTGGAAATTAATACGCGAAACTTACTAAACGAAAGATCCGTTTTCGTTACAAAAATAGAAACATTCGTAGATAAATGTTAATGTAAATAAAATAAATACAGAAATGTAAATAAAGATTCTGCAATTACTCTCTTGTTAGCTCATTACGAATACGGAACTGATATACTAAACTAAACTTCAAAAACATGGCGGCTTTGTTTTAGTAACCTCGCCAACTTTTTTTATGAGTGCCGGAAACTGACATTACTCACGCGTTTTATGGGCAACATAATTTTTCATATAGAGATATAGGGACTCTAGTAACCATACAATGATAAGACTATGTTCATATGGTGGGCGTTGAACGCACGTCAACAAGAACATGCATTTTATTTTAGTAACTGATCATACTAATGCACGTTTCAATCAGTCGCACTCCTTTTTCATTTTTTTTGACGCGGAGAATACTTTTAGCACCATACCCTAAGTTAGAAAAACGGAGAACTCCCGGAGTACCAGTCTAAACACCTCTGTCGGGTCCACTTCGCTACCTCCTTCAAGCGGGATCATCCCTCTCCCGTTCCCGCTCTGCGGCCTCCTTCTGGAGCATAACGTCCTCGCAGAAGGAGACCGCGGCTGCTCATACCTCGCCACACGGTGACAAGTTTCGTCCAATCTGTCCGACCAGGACTCGACACTCGGACTCACATGCAGGACAGTCTTCCAGCATGTGCAGGGCGGAGCCCCTACCAGACCCACAGTGATGGCATTGTGTCGTGTTCCTCTATACACATGCTTCGAAGCTCAGCAGAACGGCTCCTACGGCGCGTTGGTTAGCACAGTCCTGGATTTCGAGCCGTGGTTGCCACGCCCGTAGCGCTTGCGTATTCGCGTTCTGCCGTTGCATTCCCGGCTGATCCGGCGTGAGCTGGGTGGTTCCTGGCGCTTACGTAAGCCATGGAACCATATTGACTCAGTTTTTTGAGGCGCCACCCTCGAGCCCAGCTCACGAATCTATCCCACGACAGAAGCCACCCGCTGTTCGGCGAGCTGAAGAACCTCCTCAAAGTGTGACCCTCTAGCCAGTATTCGTGTGTCCTCAGCATAGACAGACAGACGACACTTAGGCCAGAGGGCAGACTGGTGCGTAGAACCGCATCGTATGCAAGGTTCCACAACAAAGTGCCCAGAACAGAGCTCATAAGCTGTGGTAATGTGGGCAAATGAAGAGACAGGTAACAAGATACTCCCTCCCGCCCTCACTACTATAATTAGGGGATGGGGGGTCTCCGGGGTTAACTGTAGTGATTTAAACGGTCGCCTTACCGCTTGCTACTGCGTTGAGTGCTGTGGATTCGAATTTGTGGTAAGAATTGCTTAGCAACAATTT